AAATGATAGACCTAAAATTTGAACATCTTCCCATCGAGATAGTAATTTTTTTTTTTTTTAGTTTTCAGGAAAAGATTTCATAACCACTATAGCTCAACCATCAATTGATTTTGTTTAGCAAAAAAACCATCAATCGATTTTTGTTTCTTATTTGATTAACATGTAGAATATTACATATTTTCAAATCAGATATGAAGAGGAAAAAACAAGAAATAATCTACGTACGCAAACGTGAAATTTGAAATGTTTGCTTTTTACGTATTAGCCATTTTTTTCATTATATATATAGAAAACATGCAATGATTTCTTTCTGCCAAGTGTGTATTCTTATAGCGTTACAAATCTAAAAAGAAACAACTACATTTTGTTTTTCCGTTCTTTCTAGTGGGATGTCACTGTTTTTCTTTTTGTATAAATAACGTTTCGAGATAAAACAATGCATAAGGAAAAAGACTGTATATACTAAAGGCGAAATAAACTTCTAAAAAGAGTGGGAAAGACTTATCGTAAACGTGAAAAGAATTCTAACAAGGAACACATCTTCTTTTGATACTTATTTATATATGACCCAATCCCTAAACTATACATATTTTTCGACTTAGTCATTTGTTTTTTCCATAAACATATATACAACACAAAAAATCTTCTTTTTTTTTTGTAAAAGAAAAAGAACTCTATGTCTCGATATACATTTTAAGAAAATTACTATTTAGAATATTGGTGAGCTATATATAGACATATAAAAAAATCTAATAGTTTTTTTATTATGTGTTTGCACCCGAAATACAAGTCCAAATCTTAGCAAAATGGACAAAAAATAATATAAACGGAATATTATTTGACCATATATATTGTATAATGTTATGGACCAGTACTGGTTGCTTGTTTGTTTCATATGAAAATATATCATATTGATGGTTTACAAAAAAAGAAGAGATTATTGATATCTAAATGGAATATATTACGAGTCTTTATCTATCACTAACCAAATATGTGGACGAGAGATGTTCTTAATTATATATCAACTATATGTAATATTTTTTTTTTCCTCGAAGGATGACTCATTTTCTTCTTTTTCCCCTCAAAGAATGACTTATTTTGTTATTTGAATTCAAAGTCAAGGTTTAAGGAAGCAGCAAAGGAAAGATACAATAAGCAAATGAGCTTCAAACTCCTTCGCATATTTTTCATATGTTTTTGTTTTAAATGTAATAGTTGTGATTATTATGTGAAAAAATGAGTGAACTGTGGAAATTAATCAAATGATAGATAGTTAAAAGTTTAAAACACTAGCCGAAGAAATTTTATTTAAGATAAACTAAAATGATATATGCTTTTCACTAGTTGCATACGTGTAAATTGCTTAAAACTACAAAATTTTGGAGAATACGATGAGTAATATAAAGCTATAATTATATATTTCTTAACAAATTAAAAAACAATCGCCGAAATATATATTAAAAGTAATATTTTAGTGAAACATTTTAAAAAAAACTTTGGTGGTTAAAAACAAATTATATGTAGTTTCTAGTTGATAATTTTTTAAAAAAATCATCAAAAAAAGTTTATGACGTTTTGTTAATTCATAATCGAGAAAATGGTTTATTTTCAAATCAACTAACTCCAACAGGTACAATTAATCAAATTCATTGTTTAAGACTTTAAGTTTACCCAAAAATGACAAGAACATCCACTAAAGTTATGCTCACAAAATAGAGTACATGCACTTGACCAGATTCGGTTAAATCTCAAACATGAGTAGTCTTATTCTTTTTCAATCAAAATGGTATAGTAACACAAAGAAAAATATCGGTCAGATTGGAATATTTGAAGTCGAAGGAAAAAAAACTAAAGTCAAAGGAAACACGAAAGCTTCCAAGTACTTACTATTAAACTATTTGAAATTAAAAATTGAGAGACCAAACTCCAACCTTCTTCACATTATTTTGGATAAGCTTCGCATCTATATTCCTCCTACTTCTCTCCCATGTGCCCTTTTTCTTTTTATTCATACCACGGCACCGTCTAAATGCTTATCCCACACTAAAATAATATAACCCTTTTATATGAATTCTATTTTATCGTTTTGTATACTAATGATTATAAAATTCGACGCGTTTAAAATATAAAATAATACGATATGCGAAAAGGAAAACAGGGAAACAATACAATACAGGTTTAGGATACACTAGTTAAACAACCAAATGCAGCTCACAAAACCGGTTGACTTAACACTCTTTTTTAGTTATCTAATTTTTTAGCAATAATTAATAGAATGTTAAATATATATTTGTCTTTTCTAATTCTCATTTACAAGAATAACCTGATCTTTTGAGAATATAGTCAGAAAAGAGTACTTTTGTAAAGAAATATGTTTTGATAAATAGAATAAGTCGGAAAAGAGTACTTTTCTGCAATTTTTTTTTCCCGACATACTTTGAGAGTTTCTAATATTTGATATGTAATATCTCCCGGTGCCTGGGATAGCCGTTGATAATACTACATTTAAAACGGAAATTGTTCTTTTCAAGTGAAGCTAAACTAATGAATTTAAACTTGAGTATTTACTCTCAAGACCATTAGACCATAATTCATTGAGTATGTTCAAAGTTTTGAATACACCCAAAGAAAAAAAAAACTTTAGATTTCTTTGACGTTGTTAGAATCTACTGCCTTATAGCTTTCAATTTTTTTTCAGTTTCCGTCACCAGCAAGTAAAGAATCTCATAATTTGTTTGCTTTTATATTTATATACAAATTGTAGTAGGGTGTTTTACATTTGAAAAAAATAAGATACCATTGAATTGAGATATTGAATTCAATTTCAGAATTACTTGTTCGCAAGTGATTTATCATATACACACAGTTTTTTCTTTTTAAGTTTACGTTGCTTTCTTTTTAAGTTTATACGATTTTAGATTTAGATTGTTAATACAATATTTAAAACGCCATGTGCATGATTGGTTGAAATTGTAGCTGTATATCTATATAACTGTAGATACCAAAGCGAGTATATTTAATTTTTGTAACAGAAATTTACAGCTTGTAAACCCTACAATTGTAGTTTTATGAAGAAAATTATTTATGAAAATAAATAGAATTATGAGTTGTAGTGGGATGAATCTACCCATAAGTGACAACCCATAACCCATGATTGAATTTCAAATTGTGTAAACGCAGAAATTTTATATTCTTATATCAATCAAACCAATTTATAAAATATACAAACAAAAATTGCTCATACCATATCCTACATATATAACCAACAAAATTATAGCAAAAATAAATAACAGCAGTTGAAACTGAAATTTAATGAAAAGATTTGGTAAAAAGCTGAAATTCAATAAAAATATTACCACAATTATTTTCTGATTTTTTTTTTATTTCAAAAGATATTTTCTTACCAAAAAGGAGTAAATATTTTGGTATAGATTATTGCAGATTAGTTTAATCAGGCATTTAACTTTAATGGAAAAAGTACAAAGAGCAATAAAAAGTGTTTATCTTATCATAAATAGTAGAGATTAGTTAAAAGTTTATCCTTCGAAATCACAATAAAGCCAAAAAAAGAAAAAGATTATCCTCAAATTAATCCATAATCCCACGACTAATTTTCCAAGTTTTTCTAATAAAAATAAATATTTCAAATAATTAAAAAAAAAAAGAGACCGCGTCTCTACGTTGACTTTTAAAATAGTCTCGTCGGTAGAATTTCCACACGCCTTTTCTCCTTCCCCTATCCA